TTTTATTCAATGTGATTTCAGTCCAGATCATAAAAAAGTTGCTCTGTTCCTCATGAAGCTCACATTATGGATGCACAGCCATCATGGTCTACGGATTGCTTAGTTTTTCCTGTAAAAACAGAAATCCTTGTACAGCTGGGAGCTTGTAAAAACAAGCCTGAAGCTACCAAAATTTTTAGCTGTACAGTATAAATGAGAAACTAAATTCTCCACTGCAAAACATATAGGCACCTAAATATGCTCGAGGTTTTGACAATGAGACTCATTCACCCAGAAGAAGACACTTTCCAGGTGAATATTTCCTTGTGCTGGCATCACACCCTGAGTAATGGAATTAAAGAGCGTTTATGAAATGCTGGACACTGTGCTGCTGGGAATCCCGAACAGAGGGGAAAGCGGAGCTGTGTTTGTGGTGCCCCTAGATGAGCGAGGTGGTTTGCAGACCAAGTGAGAGGTGAGGTTTTGAAAACGCCAGTTTTTCCGAGAGAGAGTTTAGGGTCTAAGGGCAGCGACACGCAGGCAGTTTCGTCTCACATAATTGTTGCCTTGAGGTCGCAAAGTTTTTATTCATTGTCATCGGTGCTGTGCCGACAAAAGCACCTCCAGGTTCGAGCCCTGCCTCTTGCTGTCGTTTAGAAAGGGAGAGAAACGGGCTCGGGAGAGGAAGCGGGGCCGGCCCGGTCCGAGCTGCGGGCACGGGGGCAGCCGCGTCCCGGGGCAGCTCCGCTCCCTCCGCCCGAGGGGCCACGGAGCTCCCGCGCCCGTACCTCGGGAAAATGCCCTCCTCGCAGCCTTTGAACAGATTAAATCTGATGAATTCTCGTTGAGGCCAGAATATTTTATTTCCCGCAGCACATTTCGTTAACTCTCATGAGCGCCGTGGTGTGAGACAGATCCGCGCACGCCGCGTTTAACACGAACCCTAATTTTTCTGGGTTTGTTATGGGGAAAAATATTCCACGATCTTAAAGACAGGTAGTACCTGGGAAAACAACATTAAAATAAATATATATAGAGAGAAAAACTAGGAATACTTGAAATGGTGACTGCCTTGTCGCGGCTGCTCTGCGGGCTGTGCCGAGGGAAGGAGAAGCGCTGGGGGCACGGAGCGGGGACCGAGAGCGCCCGGCCCTGCCCGGCTCCCGGAGCCCCTCACCGCCGCGGGTCCCGTTCCTCAGGAAAACGGGAACAAGGCACGCCTGGGGCGGATTTCACATCCGTGTGGAGCCGAATGAACGCGGGCAGTGCCGGCACGGCCCCAGCGGGCTCCACAGTCCCGAAAGGTGATTCATTCCGGGGCTCCAGCCGCGTGTCGGGCCCCGGGAGCCGGGCAGCGGAACGGAGCAGGAGCCGCAGGGCTGACCGGCCGGTCCCCGGCGGTGCGGGGGGCGAGAGCCCTGCCCCGGTGCCGGCAGGAGCCGAACGGGAGCGGGGCTCTCCGAGCCAGGGGCGGACCGGCGCTCCCCGCCCGAGACACGTTTCCTCGCCAAGAGAAAAGGAGGGGAAAAAAAGCAACCTTTGGGAGAGGAAGGCTGTCGCATTTTCAAGCAAACCGACCTTGTAGGTTCTGCTGCCTGAGGAGGGTGAGTAGAAACGAAAACCCGAAGCACTCGGGCTACTCGGGTCTTATCGGCGATTCAGCACGGCTTTCGAGGGAATCTTCGTCCGGGCTGCCGGGGCCAGACGCGGGGATGGTCCCGTGTCCCGTGTCCCCTCCGCCCTGCGCTGTCCCCCGCCACCGGGCTGAGCCCTGCGGGGATATCGCCCCGGGGCCGTGCCGGGGGCTCTGTGCTCCCTTCGGGAACCGGAACCCGGTCCGGATCGCTAGCGGCGAAGCCCCAGTTTTTTGAGTCTCTCGGGTCGCCTCTCTTAGCGGGGTTGAGCGGCCGGGATTGAGTCCCGCTCTGCCCGCCTCCCTCCCGGCTTCTCCGCACCGGAGCCGGGCCGCGGCCGGGGCTGCTCTGCCCTCGTGTGCAGAAGGCGAGAGCCCTTTCCCCCCCTCAGCAGGCCGGGACACGGGCACGGCACTGTGAGCCCTCTCCATTGCTAATTCCCCTCCTGCTTCCCGTACCCCGGCGAGCGGCTGCAGGACCGGGTCGGGAGCGGCTCCGCTGGCTCCTTCTGCTCTCGCCCTGTCCGCGTTCGTCCGGCTGCTGCCCGGCCCCGAGAGCGGCCCCGGGCAGGGGGGGCTCAGCCGGGTCACGGGCGGACCGGGCCGCTCCCCGGGGCCGTGCCGGGATCCCCGCTCCTTCTCCCGAAAGGGCTCTCCGCGCTCCTCTGCTCGCTTCCCGTCCCCCTTGCTTGCATTCCCCTCGCCGCGACATTTCCGTGGGTGCCGATAAACCCTCAGCTCTCTGCTTACCGCTGCTACAGCGGACAGCTGCCAGGGGCGTGTTCCTGCGCTTTCAGGTAGTTGTTTCATGTCCCAAAAAGGGCTTAATTAGGAAAGGGGAGAGGGGAGAGCCCGACAGCCCCTGCCTGCCCTTGTGTCAAGCGTTCAAGTAGCCGCACTCGGGGCTGCGCGCTCACCTTTGCTGCTCGGCCCGACCGCCGCTCCCAGCGCTGGCCTGAGCTTCTGCCCTGGTGTTCATCCCAAATCGCCCTTGGTGGGGCTGTCAAAAAAACCCAAACAAGACCCTCGGATGTCAAATGTTCTTTGGAGCGAGCGAGCCCCGCCAAGGAGCCCCGCGCCCGGTTTAGGAGTGAGAAGGGAGGAATGTGCCATTTGGGGAGGTGATGACACACGCGGCCGTGCTGCTACACCTGCACCGGCCCTCGCCGTGGAAATGCCTGCGAGGGGGAGCGCCGAGAGCAGCATGGGTGGCCGGCAGAAAGAAGCTCTCCCCGGCCCTGGGGGAGCCCGGCAGCCCCGGCCCCGACGGCGAGGCACAGCTGGCTCCGGCTGCTGCGTCGACCTGCTCGGATCGAACCGCAGAAGAGCCGCCGGGGGCTGCCCGAGGAGGGGAACCCTGGAGAGGGTCTCTCCTGTGGGCCTCATCCCTTCCCAGTTTCGTTTGTGCCCGGTGGCGGCGTATTTATTCCCGGCGGGAATAAACGGGCCTCCTTTCTGGGACCGAAATCACACAGCGCGGCTTCACACGTTCCACCGCCGACGGGAGATAAGGGATTGGTTATATGGGTCTAGGAGAAGATGCAGAAACGTGTTCTAACTGGGACATATAGAAATATATAATTTATATATATATAATAGTTCCTCGAAGAGCGAATTTATTTCTCTGTTAAAATACGTTTCTACATCTTCGACTGCCTTTTCCCGCAATTAGACTGTCCCGGGTAGGGGAGCAGGGACCCGTAGCCGGGCAGGGGAAGGAGAAATCCGCTCATGGGCCACCGAAGCCCTGGGTGCCCCGACGGGAGAGGCCGGCTTCCCCGGGAAAGCACGTTCGGGAGCTGCCAGGCCCCCGGGCTCACGCTTGGTTACGAAAATCGACATCGCATTTAAAATCGTCGGGACAGGGCACATTGGCGTGCCAGAAAGGCAGGAGCGAGTCCGAGGGCTGTGAGCTGCCGGCGGGCAGAGCTGCGGGCGCCCAGGCGAGCGTGCAGCTGCTCCCAGGGCGGATTTGAGCAGCCCGAGGTGCTCCTGGCACGGCCGGGGAGGTTCCTGCTCAGATGGGCCCGGCTCCTGATGCTGCCGGTGGGAGCCTCGTCTGCTGGAAAGGCTCAGGGGTCAAACGGGGCCGGTGTGCCCCGCTGCCGGGACAGGACCGAAGAGTCCGCTATAAACCGGTGTAAAATCCTGCCGCTGTACCCGTGCCTCAGCAGCCCGGGACACCGGTTTGTTACAGCCCGGGGCACCGGTTTGTTACAGCCCGGGACACCGGTTTGTTACAGCCCGGGACACCGGTTTGTTACAGCCCGGGACACGGGTTTGTTACAGCCCGGGACACGGGTTTGTTACAGCCCGGGGCACTAGTTTGTGACAGCCCGGGACACCGGTTTGTTACAGCGGCATCTCTTGCGCTCGGGCCAGCTGACGCTGACTGTCTGCTGCTCGGGGAGGCTCTGCCTGAAGGCAGGAGAGGGGAAGGAGAGGGGAATGTCAGTGCCACCTATTCTACTCCAGGAACCACGTGAAATAAGCTGAAGCCCTCCAGGGGAAAGAGCAGGAAAGCTTCCCAGTTTGTCATCCCCCGTCTCGCCACCCTGCCCCGGCTCTCGAGGTTCCTGTCAGCCCCGCAGCCGCGCAGGGACCCGCGTGTACTCCGCGGGGAGGGAGAAGGAGCGACCCGACACCTTTTGCTTTCTGCCTTCCGCAAATAAGAGCCGCAAGAACCAACTTGCAGGGAGAGGCAAGAGCCCTCCTTGTGCTCCCCGGGCGCGATCGGTTGGCGGGGCCCGCGGCCAAGACATATAAACGCGACCGCGTGTGCTGCTGGACGTGTGACAAGCCGCCGTGGCAAGGCGAGCGCCGCGGGCACACCCCTTCGCACCCAGCGCCGGGCGGGAGGGGAGCGCGGCCCCGCCGGGCTCCGGGGTGGGCGGCGGAGGCTCCCCCAGCGCCCCCCGGACACCGCCCCCCGCCTCCCCCCGCCCCCGGCGGCGCGGCCGGGCCGGGGCGGTTCCGCTCCGCTCCGCGGGGCCACGTCGGGCCGCGTGTGCGCGGGGCTGAGCGCGGCGCCGTGACTGCAGGCTGAACTCGGCCGTGCCCAGCGGCTCGGCCGCGATAGGGGAGCGGGCTCCTGACGAAAGCGGAACTCGGCCGGGCCCATACAAATCAGAAAAGAGCCCGGCCGCCGCGGCAGAGGGGAGCGGAGCCCGCGGGGGCAGGGACGCCGCCGCCGCCGCGCTGCACGGACCAGCGGCGCCGCGAGAGGCTCCTCCCGATCTCCGTCCGGGTCCCGGCTTCTACTCCGGCTTCGGCCCCGTCCCGGCCAGCGCGGAGCGGAGCGGGACGGCCGCCGGCAGCGGGCTCCGTGCAGCGGGCAGCGCTCCGCACCGCGCGGCGCTGGACGCCACGGGCTGCGGGCGCGGGGCACCATGATGAGCAACTACCCGGACGGAGAGGAGGACACGGTGGCGCTGCTGGCTCATGACACCGGCGGCAGCAAGGAGCCGGATCGGGGCAAAGAGGAGCTGAGCTCGGACAAGGGCCCCGAGAAGCCGGACCCGTCGCAGAAGCCCCCCTATTCCTACGTGGCCCTGATCGCCATGGCCATTCGGGAGAGCGCGGAGAAGAGGCTCACGCTGTCCGGGATCTACCAGTACATCATCAGCAAGTTCCCTTTCTACGAGAAGAACAAGAAAGGCTGGCAGAACAGCATCCGCCACAACCTCAGCCTCAACGAGTGCTTCATCAAGGTGCCCCGGGAGGGCGGCGGCGAGCGCAAGGGCAACTACTGGACCCTGGACCCCGCCTGCGAGGACATGTTCGAGAAGGGCAACTACCGCAGGAGACGAAGGATGAAACGGCCTTTCCGACCTCCTCCGACCCACTTCCAGCCTGGCAAGACTCTCTTCGGCCCCGACAGCTACGGCTACCTGTCCCCGCCCAAGTACTTGCAGTCCACCTTCATGAACAACTCGTGGCCGCTGGCGCAGCCCCCCGCGCCCATGCCCTACACGTCCTGCCAGATGTCTGGTGGGAACGTCAGCCCCGTCAATGTGAAAGGACTCTCGGGCCCGGCGTCCTACAGCCCCTACTCGAGGGTGCAGAGCATGGCGCTGCCCAGCATGGTGAACTCCTACAACGGCATGGGCCACCACCACCACCACCCGCACGCCCACCACCCCCAGCAGCTGAGCCCGGCCAGCCCTGCGCCGCCCGCGGCCCCGGCGGCAAACGGAGCCGGCCTCCAGTTTGCCTGCGCCCGCCAGCCCGCCGAGCTGTCCATGATGCACTGTTCGTACTGGGAGCATGACAGCAAACACAGCGCCCTGCACTCCCGCATAGACATCTAGGGAGGCTCCGGCCAGCCGCCGTCACAGAAATGCACCGGCCCCGCTTGCCCCTCTCCTGCCCCGGCGCGTTCCCCTGCGCTCCGTGGCTCTCCTCCTCTTCTCTAGCCACGGACTTCCCTCTCTCTGTGCCCAAACTCTCACCGTGGGGAAATAGCAGCCTTTCCCCGCGTGTAGTGTCAGTGTAGGAGCCGTCCCTCCGTGAGAAGAAGGCAGTGTAAGTGTGGGGCTTCCCCGCGGGGCTGCTCCGGCCGCCTGTCTCCGGCCGAGCGGGGATTCACCGGGAGTTTCTCTGCTCGTCTGTGTGGCTTTGTGAGTTGCTGGGTTTGGTGAGAGATTTTTTGGTTTCGGTTTGTTTGCTTTGGTTGTTTTTTTTGTTTTCTTTTAATTTGTTTTGTTTGGTTTGGTTTGTTTTTTTTTGTTTTCTGTATGGTGTTTTTTTGTGTTTTGTTTGGTTTTTTTTGTTTGGCTTTTTTTTTGGTGGCGGGGGGGAATGCATCTAATCAAAAATTGGTTGTTCAGCCCTCAAAATTATGCTCCTTTGTAATTCGGCCGAAATCTTTTCGGGCTCAGCCATGGGGAGAGTAAAGCGGAGATTTGTAAATAGCGGAGGCATTTTCACGCGTGCGGTGCGGGGCTGGCGGGGCCTAAACACCACCGTGTGCCCGAGTTGCTCGTCTTCCTCCTTCTGTTCATCCCCTCTGTCTTCTTCCTCGCTCTGCAAAGCACTGCGCTTCTTCCGAGCTGTGGCTTGTCGTTAAAAAAGTACTTTACGTGGGGACTGCTGTAACAGCAGATGTGCGATATTGCTGGTTAATAGAAACCGACAAACAGAACCCGCCAGGGTCACTCGTGGCACGTTTCAGCTGCGATAAATATATTTTTTAAAGGAGACAATGTCCTCTGAGGTCTTAAACGTAATTTTATACAGGTCTAAAAAAATTATTTTGATGTTATTAAAAGAAAAAAAAAAAAGAAGAGAGACGCTTTCCTGTAAATTGGGATATTTTTCCGTGAGCATATTATTATTAATAATGAAAGTTTAAACTATCTTCAGTTTTTTTGCCCCCAAACCTGGCCCAAAATGGATTTTTCCGGTAGGTTCTGCTTTTGAATGTTCACCCTTTTTCTTAAAAGGTTTCGATCCTTCAATTTTACATAGATTAATGTGGAAAAAAATAGCGATTTCAAAACAGGGGCCAGTTAGTAGCGATTTTGTAAATGTTTGTGTAAACAAATAGATAGATGCTGTGGCATAGTACCATTTTGGGACCAACTTTTCTAGAATGAACTAGCACTTTCATTGTACTTTCTAGCATTGTAAAGTCTCCAATAAAATGCCTTTCCTTCTTTCCATATCGTTTTATTTCACTCCGCTCCTCCGCGTTGGGAATGGGAAAGCGGCGCGGGGAGCGGGGCGGGCGCTGTGCGCTGTGGCTGCCCGGGGCTGCGGGCACTGCTCCCGGCCTGGGCTGCACCGCCCCTGCCCGGGGCTCTGGACACCACTCCTGCCGGGGGTGTGAGCATCGCTCCCGGCCTGGGCTGCACCGCTCCTGCCCGGGGCTCTGGGCACCGCTCCTGCCCGGGGCTCTGGGCACCGCTCCTGCCCGGGGCTGCGAGCACCGCTCCTGCCCGGGGCTGTGAGCACCGCTCCTACCCGGGGCTCTGGGCACCGCTCCTGCCCGGGGCTGCGAGCACCGCTCCTGCCCGGGGCTGTGAGCACCGCTCCTACCCGGGGCTGCGAGCACCGCTCCTGCCCGGGGCTCTGGGCACCGCTCCTGCCCGGGGCTCTGGGCACCGCTCCTGCCCGGGGCTGCGGGCACCGCTCCCGGCCTGGGCTGCACCGCTCCTGCCCGGGGCTGTGAGCATCTCTCCTGCCCGGGGCTGCACCGCTCCTGCCCGGGGCTGCGAGCACCGCTCCTGCCCGGGGCTGCCGGCACCGCTCCTGCCCCCGGCTGCCGGCACCGCTCCTGCCCGGGGCTGCACCGCTCCTGCCCGGGGCTGCCGGCACCGCTCCCCGGTGCTCAGCACGGGGTTGGCCTGCGGGAACCCTGCTGGGCGCTCCACCGGCCCCGCTCCTGGTGTCCGGAGCACCGAGGAGATTCGGGGCCCGTTGCGTTGGTTCCGCGGGCCCGGGAGCGCCTCGGCTCCGGGCCGGGCAGCTGCCGGCACCTCGCCCGTGTGCCCGGCCCGGGACGCCGGCGGCGAAGGCCGCGGGGCAGCGCCTGGGGCTGTGCCGGACCCTGGCTCCGTTTTCGTTTCGGAGCCGTGGTCCTGGAAGGAAAAGAGCGGTACCGTGTCGCCCCGAGGCCGGCCCGACCACGTTGCTAAGGGGCCTGAGCCCCATCGGGCCCGGGAGCCGCAGGCGGATCTCTCTTCCCTCGCCGGGCCGGTGCCTGCGGGAGCGGCCTGGGCCTCGCTTCCGACCCTGCCCGTCCTGGTCGGCAGCGAGCCCTGAGGGCCCGGGGCTCAGGATGGGCCATGCGGGGCGGCCCCCGCCCGCTGCCGTCCCGGCTCCAGCGGCTCCGCTCCGGCCTGGACCGGGCCTGCGGCCCCGCGGCAGCAGCGGGGATGCGGACAGGGCTGCCGGGGGTGAAATCCGCTAAAGGGGCTGGCACTCCGCTCCGCAGACAGGGGCCTGGCACTTGCCCTTGCCCGGGGGCCCGGCGCTCTTCCTTCTACCAGGGGCTGCTTCCCGGCACGGCAGGAAGCGGGAGCCTCCTGCCCGGTCACAGAAAGCAATGCGAGACGTGGGGACTGGTGGCATCTCTGCCGCTCGGCGGGGACAGAAGGGCAGAAGGGCTCTGGGGAACCCGCCGGCCCATCCTGGGGCCCTGCTGAGCCCCCCGGCCCTGCTCACCAGGCGGGGAGGGCGCTGCGAGCGGTGATGCGGCCGAGGGGCTCCGCAGAAAGTGGGGTCGCTGCGAGTGGAGCCGCCACTGCTCCGTGCACCGGGGGAACGCGAGGCCGAAGGCCGAAGGCCGATGCCAGAGACGCAGGATGTGACAGAGTCTCAGGCCGTGCGCGGTGGAGGCTCTGCGGGAGCAGCGCGCTGCTCTGCGCCTCCGACCTGTCCGGGGCCCTCGCGTGGGAGCGGGCGGTGGAGGGGAGAGGTAGCACCGCTCACACGCACCGAGGACCGCGGCTTTGCACCGGAAGGCTCAGGGCTTTGGCTGCTTTCTCCTTACTAGAGAGGTACCGCCAATACCGCTACTTTCCTCCTGGGTATGTTGAGGCCAAAGGAGAAACCCCCGCCACCGGAGGTGGGCACGGGGTGAAGGGAGGGTGAGAGCACCTCCCTGGACCCCTTCACAGGCCCACGGGCCCCTCCCCGGGCTCCTTCCTGAGCTGTGCCGTCGTTCGGCCTGAAGCAAAGGCTGGGCCGTCCTTGGCGCACTCCCGGGAGCAGCTGGGGCTCACCAGCTTTGAGTGAAGCGATACCTGACCGTGCCAGCTGCAGAGAGAGAAGGCGGCACGCCGGGACCGGGCAGGGTCGTGCGAATGGAGCTATTCCAATTTCCGAGTTGTCTCCACCAAGGTGCCGCTGTGCTTGAGCCCATAGCGAGAGGCAGGAGCCGCGCGTTGGGAGAGAAGGGGACGACAGGGCCGTGCTCCCGTTCTCCCTGCCCGGCCGGGGTCTGTCCCTCTGCCGGGCTCTCCCTGTGCTCGACCGGGGCTCTGCTCTCCCTCGGCCCGGGCTCCCCGCGCCGCTCCCGGGCAGCCGTGGCCGTCGCGCCTGTAGGATATTTTCACAATCGTTTTCTGTATTTTGCAAACAGAGTCTGCACTGAATACAAACTCGCAGGGAAAACACTGGAAGAGGCAGGCCGCCGTCCGTGACCGTGCTCGCCGGGCGCTTGTCGGGCGACGGCCCGAGGGAGGGCTGGTCCTGCCGGCAGCAGCCGGGCCTCAGTTCAGTGCCTCAGGCCTGGGGAGGGGTGCCCATCATCTCCCCGCACGCCGCTGCTTTCCTCGGCAGCGGGCACGGGCCCTGGGGAGCCGGCACGAACCGCGCTGAGCGCTACCGAGCAGCCAGGCACGCAGGGACCGAGTGTGCCGGCTGAGCTCTGCCTCCCCTCGGGCCGCAACCAGCCCGAGGGACAGCCCGGCTGATGTGCAGGATGGGCCGAACCCGGCACAGCCCGGCTGATGTGCAGGATGGGCCGAACCCGGCACAGCCCGGCTGATGTGCAGGAGCGACCGAACCCGGGACAGAGGCACTTGGGACCGCAGGGGCTGAGCGGGATCAGGGGCTGTGCAGAGCCCTCTGCAGCCAGCTCCGTGGGCACGAACACCACCGTAGGACGAAGCGGTGCCCGCGGTGGCTCAGCATTCCCTCGGCCCGGGTCGTCACCTCCTCCCGCGGCTCCCACCTGTCCCCGGCCGCGCCGCCACCGAGCCCCGCGGGCCCCTGACAGAATGGAAGCGGCCGAGCGCAGCACTCTCGGCAAGCGCTGGCTCTGCGCCTTGTGTAAGGTCTTTCCCCGTTATAGAAATGACGGCAGGAGGAAGGCGCACGGAGAGGGACGAGCTCCCCGGGACAGCACCCAGGCGCGGAGCCTCCCCCGGTGCCGGTGCTGCTCCGGGGGCCAGAGCCAGGGAAGGGGGGCTCGGGACTGCTGAGCCACTGCCCTCTCGGAGCGGCCCCGGCTTTATGCAACGCTGGCGAGAGATGAAAGCAGAAGGGCGAGGGGTGTTTCCTCCCTGACCGGAGCGGGTGTGGAAGCAGCCTGCCCCTGTCGGGGAAGGACAGAGTTTGATCCCCGAGGCTGAGCGGACTCCCAGCGCCCCTCTGCTGCTCCAGCCCCCGGGGCAGTGCCAGCTCCGGGGGATGCTTTGCCACAGCAGCTTTCTCTTCCTCTCCGGTCCTTTGCGTAGGCCGCAAAGGTCCTTTGAGCCTGGCCGGGCTCGGAGGGTGGCAGAGCCCTGAGGGCCGGGAGCGCTCCCCGGCGGCTCGGCACGGCACGGCTCGGCACGGCACGGAAGGACACAGCACGGAAGGACACGGCTCAGCACGGCA